GGGGGGGGGGGGGGGGGGGGGGGGGTTAGTCTGTAGAAAAGATGTTGTAACATTTTAAATCTTTTTTGTGAAAAGAAGTAAAGAGGAAAAGTTAACAAAGGGATATACATCCTCCAATGTAAAACTTTCAGGTAAAAAAGGGTTAAAATTAATAGTTCAGTCTATATAGTTTGAATTTGGTTTCGATCTCGACTACATGGTTTTCAATTTTCCATCATAGTCCATATAGCTTTGTCAAATCTCCCAAAAATGTCTCTACCATTATGAGGTGTTAATAGTTTTCTTTCACAACTCCTTTTCTTTGGAAGGGGAAAAGAAGGGCGATGAGCTGCCATTCGATATAAGGCATATCTAAAGGTTAAATTGTTGATTGTATCATGGTTTGAGCCAAGTCAGACATAGAGGAAAGCAAGTTGTGCAACCAACCTAAGTCTTAAGTCGCCTACTCTTTCATATTTCAAAACCCCCGTCCCCAAAACCTATTTCGCCACCCAACTTCTTTTATTATTTTTTTACCCAAATTAAACTTTAATATAGTCTCCCAATTTAAACTCTACCCATGCCTAAAGTTAAACTTATTGTCTCTCTTTTCCACATGAAAAATGGGAGAAAAACCCATATCAAGTAAGAAAACTGATAACATATGGTAAGAACTATGATGTTTTGGGAGATCTAACTTCCACAGGACTACAATGAAAATTTTAAAATCGTAGAAATCAAATTGAAACCAAGCCCAAACCCCAAGGACTAAAGTTGTGATTTAGCCTAACGAGAGAATCTAGTAAAGAGAAAAAAGGTTCCTAAACGGACCTCTGAGACAGATTTAAAGTATTTATAGCTAAGGTGCAAGCACCAATAAAAGTTTCCCAATGCCTGACGTCATTGACCATTTGTAAACTGAAACTAATAAACGCATGCATTACAAAGTTCAAATTCATCAAAGAAATTGAATTTGTTTTGCAAGACTTCATAGTTTCTTTGAATTAAATTACTACAGTTGGTATATAGGAATAATGCATCAACCATAGCTAGCAATTTACCTGAGTGTGGTTCCTGGACTGTAGAGTGGATTTCTCACTGCATATTCAACATACAAATTGTATATGTACTTCAATGAGTCCCTTAGATCACCGGTTCTAGGATGGGTAACCAGGATAATCTGAAAACAAAAGAAATAATCCATCATTTTAAACAAAATTGAACTTTAAACTAAGTTATAAATCAAGCAATGCAACACTACAGTTCAAGGCAAGGATCCCCATTTTGCACCACAGGTTAATTATTTCTCAAAAGCAGCAATTTTAAAATAGCAGCTTCACAGGGCTTCTTGAAAGAGTCCAACTTTAACTCTTCAAGAATAAAACAAGAAACAAAAAGGAGGTTCATTGGAAGTACTAATTATCACCAAGGAAACTGAACTTTATTAGAACAAGACAGAAAAGCAAGAAGAAAGTGTAAAGAAGAAAGAACCCAACCCTTTAAAACTCCCATCTACCTTGTCAAATAACGAGGATAATAACAATGAATAATTTACAAAATGACATAAACCAAACATTAGTTTGATTAAATCTCAATAATTCATATGTAGTCAGCTCCCGACAATACATTATTTCTGAGTGGATCATGCCATATGTGATATAGCAAGATATTTAACTGAACAATTCAAGTAGACATGCATGAAACTACAGCGGCAAATATGAAAGAGAACAGAGAGAGGAAGGTTGAAATAACCTTTATCCCTGATGGAGTTTCAGTAAAACTGAGCTTGTAAGTATTTGTACGAAAACTGTGAAATGAACAGCCTTGGCCAGGCAACTGAGGCACTCCAAGATTGCCTTTATCAGCACTGTACCAAAAAAAGAAAAATGAAAGCCATCACTTCAAATTCAGAATCTAACTCCCAAAAGAAGCTCATCTCTTCTCAATAAGATAAGACTTGGAAAAGTCGAAATCTAAATCTACAATCAAATTAAACATGATATTAGTTACTGCCACCAGACCATAAAGGAGCACTGTATTTGTTGAGTTATTAAGACATAAGAATATGGTTCGTATCAATCTCCCATCTTGTTCGATCATTCCATTAACTAGGCACCCCAAAAACCAAAGTAGTTTCCTAGTGAAGGAAGAAAGGCAAACCTGGTTGGGTCCATCTTGGCAGTAAAGGATTTGAGAGAGAAGAGCAAACCAAACATAAGTTTGTGGTCTTGCTGGGGATTCAATGTCCGAAGTGGCCGGTTCCACTCTCTGTAAAACAAGCAAACTCCACTCCTATTGAAAATATACATCATATGCACATTATTTCCAGTTGCTGTTGGGACCGGAGGCGAAGGGCTAATCTCTGACCCACCAAAGAACTGCATGGTTCCTGGGAAAGACCAAATTGAATCAAAACAATGATCATACGAAAATGGTCTACGAATCTGAAAATCTGACCAAACTCCCAACATTTTCACTCGACTCTACAATCAGTAGCCTAGCAAAGCAACAAAGAGTTCAGTTCTTCCCCGCTTCTTCATTTACCTGACTCGTTTTCTCTGGTAGGATTGCAAGGGAGGTGATAAGAAAAACAATAAATACATGGGATCTAATCCAGTAAAGGGGAAGAAAATAATAAATTGGAAAAATTATAATTCATAAAGATTAAAACAAAAATCGCCAATCGCCAATCGCCAATGTGTAAAATCTAAGCCGAATCAGATCAGGATTCAATACAGCAAAAATCTGTATGGCTCAACCTAAAGAAACAGATGCATTTCCTTTTAGCCTTTCCACAAACCACTCATTGCAGAGAACGTACCTAGACTGGAGAGAGTTCGTGATGGAGCTGGACAGTGACAAATTCAAGAAGGAGAATCAACGGAGTCGAGAAAGATGAAACCTCTGAGAGCAAAGGTGGCAGAAAAGAGGCTGCGATGGATACAATGATCAAATTCTTAATCGGTCAAGCAATGATTACCGGCGACAACGGCAGAAGATCGGAGCTTCACGGCGCCAAAGACTCCTCCGATGATATGATAATCGCTCTCTAGTAATCAGTCGCTGCGCGCCAAGTCGACACTGATCTCTTTGTTTCATTTTAGCCCAAATTATAAAGGTTTAAATATATTTTTAATCGTTCTAATTCGTAATTTCATTAATCTCAAAATGGGCCCAATTTGAAGTTGGGCCCATTTTGATTACATTCAAATTGGGCCCATTTTGATTACTTAAAAAATATGGGCCCATTTCGATGTTATAGGAGGCCCAATATTGATGAATACGGGCCTCCAAAGAATTAAGAAAAACCCTAATATCCATCTCTACTTCCAATACCCTAAAAAACACAGTCGAAGACTTCCCGCTATAAATCTTCACCATTTCTCCAATTAGGGTTTTTGTACATTATCGGCCGTCGCCGTCGCCGTCTCAACTCTAGAGAGGGAGAGGGAGAGGGAGAGAGAGATTTGCATTAGGAAAAGATGAAGACGATCCTCTCATCGGAAACTATGGATATCCCCGAGGGGGTGAAGATCAAAGTGAACGCCAAAATCATAGAGGTAGAAGGCCCTCGGGGAAAACTCATTCGTAACTTCAAGCATTTAAATTTGGATTTCCAGTTGATTACCGAAGAGGAAACTGGAAAGAAGAAGCTCAAGATTGATGCCTGGTTCGGATCCAGGAAGACTTCGGCTGCCATTCGTACTGCACTTAGCCATGTTGAGAATCTTATCACTGGTGTCACCAAGGGTTATCGTTACAAGATGCGGTTTGTTTATGCTCATTTTCCGATCAATGCTAGCATCACCAGCGGCAACAAGTCTATCGAGATCCGTAACTTTCTTGGTGAGAAAAAGGTATAACTCTTAACCCCACTTTATTGTCATAAGTTTCACTATTTGTATTCTGGATTCATGTTTACTGCTGCGTTTGGAATTTTACCATAATTGAATGTGAAATGATCGATTTGTAGGTGTTAAGATGAACTGGTTGACTAATTTGTAACTACTTCATGACGAAAGCCCTAGCTTTACAATATCATTCATTCTCCTTCCTCCTTTCGTAATTGTTTTAGCCGTACCCCTTGAAAGGGCATATGTTTAAAAATAGATCAGTTAATTTGTACATTGTCTTTACTTGATTTGATTCTCCACAATGTCTATGGTTTAACTTCAGCACCAACAAACACATAATGTCAGTTAGAGAGCAGCAGTGGGTTCAACTATTTTGGAGAATTATTGTTTTTTCTATATACTATCGGTATCTAAAATATAAAATGATGTTCCTTAAGGTTGAGTTGAAAAAAAAACTCCCCATGGTCGGGATTTGGAATCTAGATTTGACACTTGATGATACATTTTTCTACATCTCCCACTTACATCGCCACCTGTTCTTCTACTAATCCCCACAAGCTAGTTTGGGTTCTTTTAATATGCTTTTTTTTTTTTTTTTGCTCACATGCTTGGTAGAATAATTGCTTAGTAGTTGAATTTCTCTATCTCAAGCATGATAAAAAACAGGTGGGGCCACTAAAAAAAGGTGTATTTTGTTTGTCTAGATAGTAATTTCAATTATTTGAAGTCGTGCTCAAACTTTCTATCCTTAGGATCACTCTTTATTTATGTACTTCTTTACTTGAGTCTCACAAAAAATGTAGTAAAAACTACTTTGATTACATTAGAAGGAAATAGATACATTGAATGCTGTCCTTTAGTCATTTCATCCAAAGTCCAATTGTCATAAAATTCAAACATTTATATAAACATAACAAGGACGTACTCCAAATAATTTTTATTAAAAAATCCTCTTTTTTATTTTCATGCTTATTAACAATTGTTCTTGTAAGTACATTTGTTACTATTTATATGATGCATGGATGTGAAGTCTTTCTTCTCTGCAAAACAGGTGCGAAAGGTGGATATGCTTGACGGGGTATCGATTGTTCGATCTGAGAAGGTCAAAGATGAGTTAGTCTTGGATGGTAATGATATAGAGCTTGTATCTCGGTCTGCTGCCTTGATAAACCAGGTCCCTTTCTCTTCCACGCCACTTTGTGATTTATTCTTGCTTGCAAAACTTCTTTGCCTGTACAGGTCATAATCTGTAGTCTTATACTTGTTTTCTTCTGGGTGACAGAAATGCCATGTCAAGAACAAAGACATCCGGAAATTCCTTGATGGTATTTATGTCAGCGAAAAAGGAACTGTTTTCGAAGAGGAGTGAAGAATCTAGTAGTTTTGTTCAACCACGCTTTGGCCTTTGGAGATAATTTCATCTTATATATTTTATGTTTCATAAGTAGAGAAATTCATGGAAGCTGGTTTTTGGAGGGATAAGTATGTGCTGTAGACATATTCACAAGCTTTTTAGTTCGTCGCTGATGTCTGATAGAGGAAATGCCAGTTTTTCATTGTTTGGTTTATATTTCCAGGAGACCTAATTTTGTTCTTCTTTGCAAGGGTGAGATGCTCTGTCAATTTTTCAATTTTTAGTTAGTATGGTACGATGAAGCAAACTTGGTTACTGTGGATGCACTTCTTTTTTCCTTTTGGCCAAAAATTTTGCAATTTTGCGTTTGCTGACTTCATATTTGGTGTCTTACCACCAAGTTCACGTTTTGTCATATATAGAAAGCCGTTTTTTCCTGCCAAGCTATCTGTAATGTATTTCTCGCACTAATGAATTATTTGCTTATAATGATTGGCTGGTCGTTGTGCTTGATTATGATGTGATTCCTGTAATGGTGACAGAAATGTACACCCAGAGTTGCAAGAAAATGTGCCTGAAGCTCGTAAGCAAACAGCGTGTCCATGGGTATTTGAACCCGAGTATTCAAGAAAAAGCAGAATATTTGATGAAAGAATGGAAAATCCTTTTGAACAACCTGTTATAACACTATTATAACAGGAAAGCCTTATTTCGCAGTTGTGTGAAGGACTTCAAGCTATGCTAGTCGGAGGTGGAAGAGAAGATTACTTAATGGAGCTCTCTTTGTTCATGGCCAAAGCGCAAAAGATCGGCTTAGAAAAATTTATGGTTGTCCATTTTAACCTACTATTGTTGTATCGCTGTCACCTTCATGATATCAAACGCATTTGTTAGGCAGAGGTTTTCATACCCTTGTAAGGAATGTACGTTCCCCTCTTCAGTCAATGTGGGATCTCACAATTCACCCTTTTGAGGGTCAGCATCCTCGTTGGCACACTATCCCATGAGATCTCACAATCCACCCTTTGGGGGCCAGCATTCTCGCTGGCACACCGCTCTATCTGACTCTAATATCATTTGTAACAGCTCAAACCTACCCTGCTGATATTCACCCATCTTCCACCCCTTGGGGGTCAGCATTCTCACTGGCACACTGCTCTATGTCTTGCTCTAATATCATTTGTAACCGTTCAAACCTACCACGCATCTGTTAGGAAGAGATTTCCACTCTTATAAAAAAAAGTGTTTCGTTCTCATCCAATAAATGTGGGGTCTCACCATCTACACCTTTATAAAGAATATAAGATTTTAATATATATTACAAAGTGTATTTTTTTCTAAATAAGTGACTAAAAATGTAAGTACATTTATTTATAAATTATTTGTAACTTTAGACTTCATGAAACGATATTTATATTTTTAAAATTCCAACCATACCCCTAGTCTAAGATTAATTATATGCATTAAAACTCCCTAATAATTTTTCCCAACCAAACACTGAATATTTATAGATGACATAATACAAGTTGACAACTTGAATCCGTCCAACATTTTTTTATAGTTTAAAACAAGTTGAAATATAATACGTTTGACCAAATCTCATTTCTAGAAAATAAATAAATAAATAAATAAAAACGTTGACTTTTATAAACGACATAAAGTGGATCTTTGGATTATGTTCTACCCCTCTCTTTACTCGACACCTGTCCTTTCCACCACAGCTCTCTAAACCTTTTTTTTTCATTAATTCTATTATTAATAAACTTAATTACGAGCCTTTGATTTGGATTAAACACAATTATGAATTGATTTATTTTGGTTTAGTTGGTTAAGGATGATATTAATTACTATTGTTATATTAATTAAGGATCTAGATATTATATCTCATCTCTTAACTTAATAATCAAACTCATTTCACAAAATGGACGGCTGTGATTTGATGAAAAAAGAGTGAATTCATTCATGATGATCATGATCTACTGCTAAAATTATATAATAAACTAAATTAAAAGTAATTACATGACAAAATTGCTAAATCATATCATTATTCAAGCCTTCCTTCGAGGACTACAACCAAGCTCCTCAAACCCAACAAAGATTTCATTTCTCATCATCAAATTTGGAATTAGAATATCATTATCCTCGTACTCCTCACTATCAATGCTCAAATCCTCCAAAATCTCTCCTTCTTTCTCTCCGCTCCCGCCGTCTTCGTTAAGCGGTGTCATCGGAGAGCCCACGGTGGCTGTGCCGAGCAATAACCGATCAGGGTCTCCTATCGTCAGGTTTTTCGTGGGAATTGCAGACGACGACCTGTTTCGGGAACTCCCGGCAAGGGAATTTCGATGAGTTGGACGTGGATGAGTGTGATCTCCAGTGTATGTGACGATGAAAGTTTCTGGGTCGGCGTTGCTCCGTTCAACTTGCTTTCTTGCCCCACACCCTTTTGAGCTGCTGCAACGGTAATAGTTCCTATGATCATCGGAGGAGGAAGTTAATTTTTTCGAAATACAAACAAATTTCATATCGTTACAAAGAGTCGTGACATGATTTAATTATATATATATATATATATATATATATATATATATATATATATACATACATATATATATATGTGTATATGTATATTTAAATACCTTGGGTAGGGAGATCCTTTAATGGGCTTTTGCCCATATTTGCGCCAAGCCCACATGTCTGTTGAGAGATTATCAGCAGTCACATGGCATACGGTTCTCTTCTGTTGATTCTTTCTGTAAATAAATAATAATTCATAACAATAATTAAAAGAAAAAGAAATAAATAAATTTCAATTTTAAAATAATTTTATTATGACAACAAAGAAATCAATCAATTAAGATTTAATTCAATGTAAATTTAATTTTATTAAATTACTTGCCTTTTTCTCGATTTGGGTATGTGAGGAGGCGTCATTGGTGAATTTGGGAAGTCTGGCCGGAAAAGTGGCTGTTGCCGGTGATGGGATTGCAGCGCCACCGCTCCGGGATCTGGCTGTGGTCGAATGGGTTTAATTCCGTGTCGGGATTGGCGGGTTGGAACCGGATTGGGGATTTCCGGTGCGGCGGGGGCGACGGCGGGGGCGACGGGGTTGGGGAGGAAAGAAATGAAGGCTTGGTGTAATTCATGGAAGCCGTTGGGCTGTTGGGGGTGAAGGATGTCGGAAAAGGAGAATGCGACGTTGTTTGGATCGTCGTCAAAAGTTAAGGAAGCGAGACAAGACAAGGCGGTTTCTGCGGCGGAAGCGGCAGTTGGGTCGGCGGCGGTGGAGGTGGAGGAGGTGGAGGAGCCTGAATAGCAGCTCCGGACGACGGCGGAGAGATCCCAGTCGTCGTCTCCGGCAGCCATGGAAAGGATTACACAAAAATCGAAATGAAAAAAAAAAAAAAAAAAACAAAAGAAAGACGAAATTTTAGGAAATTGGTAAAAGGGGTACAAAGGGAAAAGAAGGGACGGCAGAAAGGACGGCGCTGACTTTTTAGCTCTTTAGAGAGAGAAAGAGATAGAGAGAGAGAGAGAGAGAGAGAGAGAGAGAGAGATAAGAAATGAAGAAGAAAGATCACTGACTTTTGAATTTCACTAATTCTTAATTATGTATTTATAATCTCCCAAAATCATATTTTTAAAAAATATTAAAAATAAAAACTACCATAATATAAATTCAATAATATATATATATATATAGGTATTTAGTTTTATCCTTTGAGTAAAAAAAAGGGTAATTATGGAAATTTAGTAAATTAAGTGATTAGTGTTGGGTTAAAATTAATAAATCCTATATTTTCGTCTTTAATTAATGAGTAATTTTAAGAGTTTAAAATTTTGTAAAAAATAAATAAATAATTTAGATACAAAATGGTTGTCCACAATTGAACCTCCCATCTAACGGTCATATGCCTTATATTAATCCTACAAAACCACTGGCTTATTAAAATACTTGTATTTTACAACGAGTAAATACAATTTACTGTTTTTTTAATATAATCCTCCTTATTTAAGTGGTAATATTTAAATTTTCCTACCTATAAAATAAATAAATCCTATACTTTATTGAAATGCTCGTAGTTTTCTTGTCTGTCTAGAATTGAGCTCCAGAATTTGACGAAGATAAAAATTTGAACATAGTTTAAATGGTTATGAAAACGCGGTTTATATATATATTATAATTTTTAAAAAAAATGGGAAAGGAGAGGGGGGAGGTTTTATTTTTTTGACTTTGGGAAAATGTCAAATGGGGACAAAGGACGATGGGTTTTGTGGCAGAGTGCAAAGGCGTTACCAAGTTTGACTTTGACTAACCATTCATTCTCCGTCTCTTTGTTTTCATTGGCTCGTAGGTTTTGTAGGGTTTAGGGTTATCTATTTCCTCCACGCGCCTTTCTCTTTACGTGAACTTCACTTTTCTTCCACATTGGTTCTTTTCTTTATCTTTCCTCGTGTCTTCGTCACACTTCCCTCCCTTGCGACTGGGGGGGATCTTCCCTCCAATGGTTTTCTCAACTTAGTCGGTGAGGTTTGGAATTTCGTTTTTTTTTTTATTTATTTTGTATGGTATGTGATCAATTGTAACGCCCCCCAACATCATCAAGTATGGGTGATTTTATATCTTTATTTGAAAAGAAAATTAGGTGTCGATCGTTGCAATCGAGGCTCGACCGAGTCTTCTCCCTCCATTCCTTCGTTCATCTCTTAGCTCTCTCTCTCGATTTACTTCAGCCCACCATACTCATTGGCTACCTCTCCTTCGCCTCCTCCATCATTCAACAAATTGTCAGACAACGTCACACCCACCAAACTGAGTGTCTATTTTCATTAGATAATCAGTGCAACATTAAAAAATGAGTTAATCATCCACCAAGAAGAGAAACCAACATGTGTTTATAGTTTAGATGCATGTCCTATAATTGCGTGTTGTATGTTCTTGGTGTGCGTGAACACTCCACCTTTCTCAAATCTTTCAGATAATACGAGACATATACTAGAGACATGAAAAGTCCATGTCAACATGCACTACCAGCAATATATTGTCCACTTTGTCCCATTCCCATTACATATTACAGTGTAACAGCCCAAGTCCACCGCTAGTAAATATTATCCACTTTGTCCCATTACATATCACCGTCAAATTCACGGTTTTAAAACGTGTCTACTAGAAAGAGCATGTTTCGTTTCCCTCTTGAACCAACGAAGGATCTCACATTTTATGTTTACTACTAGCATACTAATTCTCTAAGAAGTCGAGTCAATACATATTTCAAAATGAATTCTTTTTTCTTCCTCGTTCTCATAGATTTTGTTTGATGACTAAAATTTATGTTTTGGTTTTATGTGACACGAGTTGCAACCAAACCAATTGTCCATTAATCTTTTTGTTAATAACTTAATTCAACAAACCCATAAAGACCAAATCAAAATTTCAAGTTCG